TCATTAGCATCTTGGTAGCTTTCAATGAGATGTTCCATCACTATGCACCTCAGGACGCCCCAATCATTCGCCGTGATTGAAGTCCTCAGCATCTCCGGAGTGAAAGTTTCGCCCTCTCTCAGCTGGTACAGGGCCAGCTCGCCGGTTGTATACTGAAACACGTACCCGACATACCCTGACAATAATTTCAACTCACCACGAAGCGAAGCATTCGGTGGCTTTTGAATTCTGCACAGTTGCATGGTGACTTTTTTCGGAGCTCGAGACAAGGCTGACTCCTCGGTCAGCATCACGGGTATGTTGTTGATAACCCCGTATCTCTATACTTTCTATGCACCATTTGTTTTATTCACTATATAACATTACAAACAGAAACCCCAATAATAATGATTATGTCTTTTTTAAAATAGTTGTCTCCTCATTTTTGAAACTAAATATCAGCTCAACTCTATTTAATATACAAATCACTACTATACTTTCTATGTACCATTTGTTTTATTCACTATATAACATTACAAACAGCATCATTACCTGGTCTTTATTTTTTAGATTCATCTATCATGGGGGAGAACAACTGTGCGGGCTGAGGATGGAGGGAGGGGCTATGAGAACCTGAGGGGGTGAACTTTTGACCACGGAGGGGAGGGAGTGATGATGGGGTGATCTTTGACCTGAGAGAGAGGAGGGTGGAGGGGGAATGGAATTTACATCTGTTGTGGGAGGGGGAGTGAGGGGGGCTTGGGGGCGGGACAAAGCTTCTGATTGGATAACCTTTCACATAGAACTGTCAAATCAAGTTTGATGAAAGCCGGTATCTATACTCTGTGTGGCATGTACTTTGTTGGCATGACAGGACAGCACATGCAGCATCTGCTAGTGCCAACCCATATTAGATGGGAGCGTATTCTCAAGAACAATCTCAGTGAGAGAGACTTGGGAGAGTATACAAAGCAGGGTGAGATAAATTAGGAGGAAATTAGAGGCACACATTCTCTAACTCAAAGCAAAACCACAAGAGAGCACAACAAGAGAGGAGGATAAGAATAAGTCCAAGAAAAATACGACACCCGTTCCTGCTTCATGATGTTTGATCATGTGAGTGCAAGGTAGCCAGGCAAGCGTAGGTGTGTGAAGAGAGATGAGGAGAAACTCTCTAAGTGGGACAACCCCTACACCATCATCATCCTACCTCAGCCAATAACCAGACCGTCTAAATACAGTATCCCACTTTTCCTGCCAGACACACGTACACAAATGTGCATGCACACACTGAAATGATGAGAAAAATGTATTGAACTCCCAAAACCATCATTAATCTGAGCCCCAGTTCCATTAGGGAAGATTCAGAATAATTAGTTTTGTGTGTTTTCAGTTTGTGTGTGTGTGTGCTGCGTGTGTGTAGTCAGAGTTATGAGTAGATGATATTAGATTGTGTCGTAGAGACTGAGGCTTCCCTGGTGATCTGCCATGCTGAACATGTGTTTGCCATTATTGCATTTCAGAATGAGACAAAGAGAAAACTCAATCAGCTGGAATCTAATATAACTGCCACTGTATATGGAACTGTATAGCATAGGTATGTTATTTTTGTGTGCATCTGTTGAAATCATCCACTGTGAGGGTTAATATTGAATCATGTTTTACCATAAGATAATTACACGTTTGCTTTAGGAGGTAACCCCCCAGTGTGCATCTATCTATTACATTTTTGTGTGCAGACATAAAGCATGATGTGCTCATGTGTATGCAGTGCATTTCTGCATAAAGCCTGTGGTGGATAATTCATGTTCAGCTGCTGCGCAGGGTTACCCTCACAGTTAACATACAAATACAGTAAGTGTGTGTGTGGTGACCTCCTCTCACACAGCCCCAGGGGACATGGACACAGGCAGAGTGTGATGCTAATGCAGTCTGGAACAGGAAATAGGCCTGGGCTGGGCTACAGGTCCCTAATTTGACACAACACCATGCTGACCAGCTGACTGCCTCGGTGTGGGTTTGTTCCAGCTTTCATTTCAATCCAGCTGTTCTCTGCTGCTGATCTAAGATGCATGAAGTTGACTCCGTGGCACAATTTCTAATGCTAGTTTTCACCCTCTGCTTTTGAAGTTGGACAAGAGCTTAATGAAAATGTTCATTACACATTTGAAAACCTTCTTGCCTTAGGAACATACAAGCATCTTTCTTCAGAGCATAAGAAGATGGCGTAAAAGATCATCAGAAGGCTGAGAGAAACAATTCGGGGTAGTAGAAGTGAGGCTTCTATATAGTCAGAAATAGCAAAAGTACATGCATTCATTACTCAGGTAGAAGTACTGATTCAAAGTCTTTACTCGAATAAAAGTGAAAAAGTACAGGGTCTGAAATGTATTCAAATTATAAAAGTTAATAGTGGCCCTTCGAAGGACATTTCTACCAGCTGTTTTTGTGCAAACCTAATTGAGCCTCACATCATATTAATATATTAAACCTTTCTAACATCAAAGAAGATACAAATTATGGCAAAAATAATAAACATTAACTAATGAGAACACATTTCAGGTCTAACTAAGCCTTAAAGGATATAGTCTTTTTAACTAAAACAATGAACTGCCTCTAATCATGGTTAATGTCTGTCAGTCTCCAAGCTGCATTAACTTATTTGTCCGTGCCTGAGACCTCCATTTTTCTTCAAAAATGATTAAAAACACATCGCTGCATTGGGTGACATCATTACAAAACAAAAGCCCAATATATATGTTACAAAAGTTACCCAAAAAGCTTCACATTACCATAATGTTTTACAGTGTCTGAAGTAAAGCAAGACTCAACGGCAGATGTGTGAGATCTCAATGAAAGCTGAGGAGCTAGCTGACTGTAAACAAAGTATAAAGGTTCTAATAAAGAAACCTGTGTGTGCAGATTTTGCAGCAAGTGAAAATAATTGATAATTTCCCTCAAATGTATTAAAACTAAAAATAACGAGCCTGATTTATCAATGTAAGGAGTAGTAGCATTTATAAAAGAACTTAAGACATACACACGTGTATGTTATGTGCAGACAGAATGCTGGCGAGGCAGCTCCTACATATTGAGCTCATGAAGCATGGTATGAAGTCACTCAGTTATGTATCTGGTCAGATGCTGTATTTGCTCACACCTAATGACACACACTCCTCCTTTATCTCACTTATTTTAGAGAGGAAGTGAAAATGCCAGCCGCTCACATAGCCATAAGTGGTTAACATTTAGGAAAACACACAGGGAAAAGCAGATGGGTAGAAGAGGCGTGAGGCAGAGAGAGGCATCCTACATTCTGAAAAATGAATCATCAGACTAAATGAAGATCTGACTGCACAACCAAAAACCAGCAGGTGGAGGAGATGAACACAGCGTGACCGGGGCTGAGCCGGGCCTCGGCAGCCAATGAGATAAAGGAATAACACGCTCACCCTACCCCTGTGAGACAGGGCCCTTACACAGAGAATGGTCGCACTGTTACGGTTACTGATTGGCTTTCAGTCAGCAACTGATCACATCGTCACGGTTACTGGTGGCAACGTAACTGATCACTTGTCACGGAGACACTGTTAGAGAAGAGAGTGGGAGGAGGACCCAGTATTTATTCCTTAGCAAAATGCCTGTGTGTGTCTGTGTCCATAGATTTTTCTGTTTGAGGATAAACAGTGAGCTGCACAAGGGCAAGGTAAATCACTAGGTAAATGAGTATTTAGGATGATGAGTCAGTTTCCTGAAGGACCTGGGGACTTTGTGTGTTCCATGTGAATGGCTAAGGTCAGAGCATAGTGAGGCCAGCAAGTAAAGTGCTCTGTGAGAGTCAGTTTACTTGCATTTGTTTGTGTATCTGAATCAATAGCGGCAGAGAATATGAGACTACAGTATCATGAACACAAGACTTCATTCCACTGGCTCATTTTCAAAGTGTTACTGATCACCACCGCCACTGGGCTCATTGTGGTATCTTACGGTATCCTCGGCTGAACGTGGAAGAGGCCTGAAGTCAGGCAAAAACACACACTGCTTGTGGCCACAAATATAATGTTACGTACAATCAGGTGGCATTTCAGAAGATGCTGCAAGATTTTGATCATATTCCAATGTTGAAACCCACTTCTCATCTCACCCACATACCTTGCTCATATTCCTCCTGCCAAATCCAACAAATCTGGTTCTCCTGTTGATACTTCAGGTACTGCAGTGTTTCACTGGACTGCTTTGAAAGCCAGACTACATCTGGATTTCACAGGTGTTTTTATTTTAACAGCAGGATGAGTATTTGCCTCAGGCACATTCACCTGGATAAATGAAGCATCATACTGTTGAGGCACACCAGACTGGGCTAAATTGGACCAGTGTGTGTGTCTGTGTGTGTTTGTTGCTTGTGTTCAGCCACTAATTGGGCTGTGCCTACATGGTTTTTTCCTCTGTTTGTGTGGACCACAGGGAGTCGATGAGGGCAGTGAAGACAGTTTAATGCCTCCGCTGAGGGAAAAGGTTCAAGGACAGATCACTCACTCTCTTTATCACACTTTCTCACTCTCTCTGTCTCTGTCCTTTGCTTCCACCTCTCCTGCCTCTTTCATTCAGTTTTCTCTTCCTGTGGGATACTTAGCTATCCCTTCATTGTGCTCCATTGCAAAACGCCACCCCGCCCTGCACATGCAGATATATGCACACGTCCACACAGTCCAATTAGTGGCTATACCAGAGACTAAGAGCAATTAGGGCAGGCAGAAATCCTCTAAGCTGAATCCACTCTGTGTGCGAGTGTGTATCACTGCTGTGTGTCTGCATCTCTGTTTATCTATGCTGGTCTGTGTCCATTCCAAATAGCATGCAGCTTTACCTGGCTGCAGGACACTGATGCCAAGCAGATTGGAAGTGCGGTTGGCTACTCTGCTCCAGCTGTTGTCGTAGTTTCTCCTCCAAAGGACAGCAGTGCACTGGTATTTGCCCGCCTCACGACGCCCTGCCCGGGTCACTGACAGCCGGAAGTTGGTGTTAGAGTGGGAGCGGTCCACTGTGGTGCGAGTACCCAGCCCCAGCAACTGCTCCCCCCACTGCAGTGTGCCCTCACGGGTGAAAGTCACCAGGTCTTTGAACTGTCCCTGATCATTGTCCTCAGCTTCTGTGCCAGCCGGCATGAAGCGCCAGGTGACAGAGGTGGGGACACGAGGGTTGTGACGAGGCTTGACCAGGCAGAGGAGGTCAAACGAGTCTCCGAAGGATATGGATGGCGTCCGTGATGAGGCCGACACCATGAAGGAAGACTCTACACAGGGGAAGAAGAGGAGAGAGGATGTTAAGATGACACATTGTCAAATGGCCTTTTTATCTGACTAATGATGAACCGTTCAAATAGAGTGCTGATGATCGCATGTAATAAAAAGCTTAAAGCTCAGCAAATGATGCGGAGGTTCATAATCACATCCAGGAAGGAACTTTCCTTTTAAGCATGGCTACCAAGAAGAACAAAGCCTCCTACTGGAAGAAATACAGTCACTTAAAGTGCACTGTCATATTGGTAAAGCAATTCTTAATCTTCACAAGCATTTTTCTTCCATCATTAAGGCCTATGTGTCTAAAGACTGTCACTTAGCTTATGCATGTAAATGTATATTTACTACCTTGCACTTATGTGTAAGTATGAGTTTGTGTGCTTAACTGTGAGAGCGTGCCTCAAAATGAATGGTAAGGCAACAAAGAAAACCCAGGGGAGAGATCTCCTCTAAGCGCTGATGTTCGATCTATGTCCAGTTGCTTGCCAAGTCTAAACTATCCTCATTAGGCTAAAAACTCCATACATTATTGCCAGGATACACCTACACTAGAAGGCAAAGGAAAAACAAGTGAGTGAGGGGGAGATAGACAAGATACAAAAACTCCCTTTTCTCAATGGCCCTTTAATAACCTGGCCCTGGCTGTGGTTATTTTAGGCCATGTCAGTGAATTTAAATGACTGAGGTCAAATAGGAGAAGGACAGTCATACACAGATAATAGAAAGAAAGAAAGAGAGCACAGCGGAATGGAGAGATGTTGATGAAGCCTGATTTTGCCAGATCAGATAATTCATTTCCTTGAGACTTTGCAGATTTCTCCATTATGTTCTCGTCAACAGCCCGTCGCTTTTACTCTGTTCCTCTCTTCCTCTGACAGCCAACACCCCTGGTGTCCTTCAGGGAATCTGTAGCTTTCTGTCCAGACTTGGCTACTGCTGGGACAGTCTCCTTGGGGCCTAATCCTCTAATAGACAATAACTCTCCCTTCTCATTCTGTGTTCATCTCCCTGCACCCCTCTTCCATCCATCCGTCCATTTCCCTCACTATCTGCCTGCCTCAGTGACAGAAAAGAGGATTTCACGCTGATCTGTTTTCCCACACAACTCTGTTTTTTTGTTTGAGTGAATAAACATGAATGCATTTTCCTTGACTATGCAAAATGTGTGTGGTTGAGTGGGAGTGTGTCTATATGAGGATCTACTATGCATTGTCTATTTACAGGCTCCTCACTAGTACACACTTTCCACCAAGACACACTGAGGGCCCCTTAAATCAAATCAGCCAGAATGAAGACTCTCTACCAAACACCTTTGTCTTCTCTGTGGCAACACAACACAAGGAACCTAGAGGGGATACCTTCTCCCAACAAGCAGAGGAAATCCATAAAGGAGGAAGTTATGAACTTAATTAAGGTAGTGTAATCAGTAATATCTTTAGCTTCAGCCTGTGGACTGGTTCACTCAGAGGGCAAGTTGGTGTGAAAACCAATCTGAGCTCAGAAGGAAACTGGAGCACAAGTTTTTCTTTTTTTTAGGACTAAAAATGCAAGGCAAGAGATGTAGAAGAGAAGAAAACTGAAACACAGGGAAAAAGAACGAGTACTCCACCTGCATGACAAGTTTATGTCAAATATAACCACAGCTGGAAGCTAAACTGAGAAAACTGAGAACCAAAACAAATTCAAGACGAAGTGAAACACACATATTGACCATCATACACCCATGCACATTTAGAAAATCCTTTGATCAACCAGCGGGGAGCGGGAGAGATGTCAAGGAGTGTAAATGAAGAGAGACAAGCAACTTTAAACTTCTTTTTTGCATAATGTGTCCCTTGTTCCTCAAACTAGTGTTTCGGTTGTTGGCTGAATTTCACAAATGACCACTTAAAAACTGACATCTCTTCCCTGCAGCACCGCTGTGTGCTGCTGCAAGGGGCTAATCCTTTGGTTGCATGCGTGTGTGTGTGTGCTAAACCCAGTACTCTCGGCCTGCCAGCTCCTCACTGCTCTGCTCCAGTGGCTTCCTCAGCCTGTACCAAGAACGTTCAGCTTAACTCAGCACCGACGGAGGAGACCCACAGACTGTGAAACACATTGCCGCTGCATTTCCATTCTAATAATTCTGGCTAATCCATATGGGTGAGTGTGAGAGTGTGTCTGTGCATCTATGTAAGGTGACAGAAGCGCTGCTCTTGACAAGGTGGTGTGTGTCATGACAATTCTTTCCCCTGGGTTGTGTATGAATAAATCATGGTGTTTTATATTATGTGGACTGCATGTTCTGCCTGAGCCAGACTCGGCAAAAAAAAAAAAAAAAAAAATAATAATCACAATTCATATGCCTTTTTTCACTTGGTGTGCATGTGTGCAGACACACTGTCTTATTTGTCGTAGTGTTTACATGCCTTACTGATTTGAAGGTATTAGAATACTCACAATACTGGAGTTAGTTAAGCCTGAAATACCTTACCAACAGTCTTGACGGTGACTGTCTTGGTGGCTGACTTCTCTCCTATCTGCTCCCAGTTTAGCTCTGGTTCAGTGCCGGTCTGAAGCCACTCAGTGGCTGTGCAGCGGTACTGGCCCTCATCCTCAGGTAAGGCATTGTATAGGGACAGAGAGAACGCATCAGCGTGCACCTTCTCCACACGTATCTCCCCATAACTGGAGCGCTCTTTGTAGGTGGGGCTGTGCCAAACAGTGCCATCCCGGTCCACAGAGGCCACATCCAGGGCTGGTTCAGTTTCCTGTTTATCTGCCCACTGCCAGACAACAGACAGGGTCCCCGTAGTGAACTGGACCGAACAGGTCAGCTGAATCACATCGCCCTCTAGAACCTCTGAGGAGTTACTGGACAACGACACTGTGATGTTGCTCTCTGGATGGAAAGAGAAAAGACAGAGAGACGAATGAACACATACTGTAAAGACAGGTGGTGAAGTCCTTCTCATGCTGAATCACACAACAAAAATCACGGTGTGTTAAAATATTCAGAAAGCACGTGAGGCTAAGGGAAATAAAACTAATCACTGAACCTATTCCCGGGAGCATAACATGTAAAGTGCATGTGTTTACATGCTTGGGTGCATGAGAGGATGACAGTACATTACGGTGACTTGTCAGTGAAG